GAATAAGGGGCTGTCGTTTGATGAATTATGCCATATTCAAAACATATTTGTTCAAAATGAGCTACATACTCCCCACCCTTATCACTTCGGATTATTTTAATCCTTTTGCCGAGTTGATTTTCAACTTCGGTCTTATATATCTTAAGCGCTTCCACAACCTCATCTTTGCTTTTTAACTAATATAAGTAGCAAAACTTGTGCAATCATCGATAAAAGTTACGAAATACTTTTTACCGGTTCTTGTTTGCACACTTTTCATATCACATACATCAGTATGGATTAACCCTAATGGTTCAGTACTTCTTTCCACCGAGTGAAAAGGCAACTTAGCCATTTTCTGCTTCAATACAAATTTCACATTTTGTATTTGTCTCAACTTTAGAATTAGGAATTAATTTTAATTTTGTCAACCGTTTAATTGCATTTAGATTTACATGTCCCAATCTAATATGCCATAATCAGAGCACTCAACAGTATAAACAGAAGTAGGCTTTTTATTATCAACGGTTACACGGCTCACGGACATTACATTCATTTTGAACAATCCCTTGTCGATATAACTACAACCAAGGAATTTTCCATATTTGCTAAGAATAAACTTCTTAGCTTCAAACACTAGCCTAAATCCATGTTCAACAAGAAGTGATCCGGAGACCAAATTTTTGCGGATGTTTGGGACATGCAGAACATCCTTCAGCTTCAACTCCCTTCCAGAAGTGAGCTTCAGCACCACCGTGCCCACTCCAACCACATCAGACGTGGAGGAATTTCCCATGTGAAGTTTCCGACCCGTAGCAGGAGTGTATTCATAGAACACCTCCTTGTCGGAACACACATGACGAGTGGCACCAGTATCGATGTACCACTCCCTCAGGTTATCCACCAAATTGGCTTCAAACACCACAACCGACATATCAAAGTCGGTCAGTTCATCCGTCACAGGGCCATGTTTAGCCAAAGAGCACTCGGTTGCCCTTTCTTTGGCCTCTTGCAGTCTTTTGCCATATGGTTTGG